GGGGGGGGGGGGGGTCCAGTATTCACTGAGTTTTTAATCATCAGCGATTGGCCCTCAGTATTTCTAGCTTATAAAAAAATGTACACACACTCTCTCTCTAATTGCTTATCTTGGAATATCAAGGTTTAAACCGAAATGATGCTAATGCTTTATGAGTTTCTGTTAAAAAAATTGAAATGTACATATTTAGTAAATTAGTATATGCTGTATCAGAGAAGTTCTTGAACTCAGAGAAAGCCCCCTATATTTGTCACGCTGGATGGAGGCACATTATCTTTTGTCGAGGTTTATTTACTGGTATTTTTTTCATCAATGCTAAACCAAGATATCTTGGTCTACCTTAACATTAATGTGATGCAAAAGATTTGTAATGTTATATTCGTTGTCTGTAAGAAAATTTAACTGTTCATGTTTAGTATATTGTCTCAGAAAAGTATTTAAACTCAGAGGAAGCCCCTGTATTTTTCATGTTTGATTGAGGTATATTACCTTTTCTCAAGATTTAAAGACCAGTCTTTTCATCAATGCAAAAGATAATGCAATTGATGGCTTAGTCATCAATGGCAGACTTTTGTAATGCTTGCATTAACTATCTTGTATTAGTTGAAGTTGTTATCAAGTCATCTGATCTGCTGCTTGACTCAGAAAGTCAACCTGGAATTGGGAATTTGTTTACGTGGATTTGGTGATCGGGGATTGTAAACACCAATAGTATTTGCATGTGGCATTTTTTCTTCATGATAAGACAATAACCTGGGCTATACCTACTTCCTTCTTGAGCTCTGGAATTTACTTTCTGTTGCTACTCCATAAAATCTTTCATTTTGGCTATATACATTTCATTCTGGCTATACAAACACGAAATTTTATGCAGTTGTGTGTTGATTCTGATGCATACTTGATGCAACAATTAGTAGTAAACCTTTTTCTTTCTTTGTCTTATCTTTTGTTTCTGTCCATTCCTTGCTGTTATTAGGATGATGTGCTTCTCATTATGATTTTCTGGAAAAATGAGCTTTTGCATGTTTTAATGAAAAGGGGGAAAAATGATGAGGAAATTATATATTTGGCTTTTTTTTTGGTTTCAGGATGGGAATGAAGTCTTCTTTAGGATCAAAAGAAGCACCCAGCTGAAGAAGCTGATGAATGCTTATTGTGACCGACAATCAGTGGATTTCAATTCAATTGCTTTCTTGTTTGATGGTCGTCGTCTTAGAGCAGAACAGACACCAGATGAGGTCTCTCTCCCCCCAAAAAACCAAGCCCCCAAATGTGCACACACAAATACAAACAAGAGAATACCAAAGAAAGACCCATGTATTTGCTTGATATTGTGCTTCACAATTGTTTTAATTATCTTTTTTCCTTACAATTTTCCTCCCTTCTGCAGCTGGAGATGGAAGATGGTGATGAAATTGATGCGATGTTGCATCAAACTGGAGGCACAATTCTTTGAGTCTCCTTTGCTGTTTCTTTGGACCTAGACTTAATGTGTGTTTCAAGGTGGTATGGACAATGGACTTGGTGAAATGTAGGGTGTTCAACTTTTAGGGCGTGTTGAGTGTAATGAACGTGATCATGTTTGCTTTATGTTGACCAGCTCGGCTGTACTTAATCACTACTGTAAAACTTGATATGAAAGTCATTACTTCCTTAACCGTTTAGTTTTCTAAAGATGACATGAATCCAAAGTCTTGGTTTGTTTTAAATAACCCCCTCCATCAACTCCCACGAAAAATCGGTACCTTGGTGACAAGAAGAAGCTCCAGTGGCCAGTGTAACCTGCTTTGCACCTTGTACGTATATCGCAGTTTGGTCCATATCTCAGGCTTTTAATCTTAATGGTGGTTTATTTTAGAACTAGTACCAAGGCTTTGATCTAGTGGCAAAAGGTGTGAGTTAGGTGTCTGTCACATGTTTGAACTTGCCCCGGATAAAAAAACCTGATATTTAAGTGGGGAAGAGTAGAAGGACAAACTTATTATTCACCGTTTTTTATACTGTGCATTACTGGCCCTCAGTGATATCTCATGTGCCACTTGTTGATTTCTCTATTTTTCCAAGAAAAAAGGTTTGTTTTAGAACTTCTATTCGTGTTCTTTGATTCTTTGAAACTACAGCAGGTTCGTTGGGGTAATAGTCCTCTCTTCAGTCAATTTTAATCATTTTTTTGACTATTAAGTTGCTTATTTCTTTTTTGCTAAGCGCTTAAGGAGTCCTTGATTTGATATGTTATTTTGTGTCGCTAATCATGGTCTTTCTTTGTATAAGCGGCATTCATTTATGTAGTTATAAAGCATCAAAAGAATTAGTATAAGATCATTACTTAAGATTGCTTCTTGTTGTAGGCATTATCATGCAACCTTTTCACCAAATATTTATTCAACCATACATGCATCTATATTGCCTTATCAGTAGCAAAATTATGGTAGTAGTGCTAGCAAACTTTTCAATTGTAATGCTCCATGTAACACAATACCACACTGACCATTAAAAATAAACGAATATATTTCCTTATTAGTCATTCTTTGAGGAACCTTCATGTTGTTGAGAGATTATAATAATTAGGAAAATCTCTCAAATAATAGCCGAAAAAATTATATTTTTTGTATATATATACATTCTGTATGTCATATACAAAAATTATACAAATTTTATATACTTTTTCGGCTACCGAATATAAATAGTTTCTGACGCGAGCTAAAAGTGATAATATTCCATTATAATTCGTGGAAATGGCGTGGGGTAGCCACTTTTTAATGTGGTATTTAGTTTTTATCCAGCATTTTTAATGATGAGCAAAAATAGCCACTACTCTATTAAAATTAATACAAAAAGACGCTTTTATCCTTTCTTCATGAGTGTTTGTGTAAATATTAAGGACATGGTGTCCTTAATATTTACACAACACTCATGAAGTTAAGGACATGATGTCCTAAAATTTAACAATAGTAGGTGCAAATATATGACACTTTGTCCTTAATATGCACTCATGAAGTTAAGGACATGATGTCCTAAAGTTTAACAATAGTAGGTGCAAATATATGACACTTTGTCCTTAATATGCACTCATGAAGTTAAGGACATGATGTCCTAAAGTTTAACAACAGTAAGTGCAAATACATGACACTTTGTCCTTAATATTTACACAACACTCATGAAATTAAGGACATCATGTCCTTAATATTTACACAACACTCATGAAGTTAAGGACATTATGTCCTTAACATTTACACTGCACACATGAAGTTAAGGACACAATGTCCTTAACATTTACACTGCACATATGAAGTTAAGTACATGATGTCCTAAAGTTTAACAACGGAAGATGCAAATACATGACACATTGTCCTTAATATTTACACAACACTCGTGAAGTTAAGGACACCATGTCCTTAATATTTAGATAGTACTCATAAAGATAAAGACACCATGTCCTTAACATTTACACTGCACATATGAAGTTAAGGACACGATGTCCTAAAGTTTAACAACGAAAGATGCAAATACATGACACATTGTCCTTAATATTTACACAACACTCGTAAAGTTAAGGACACCATGCCCTTAATATTTAGATAGCACTCATGAAGATAAGGACACCATGTCCTTAACATTTACACTGCACATATAAAGTTAAAGACACGATATCCTAAAGTTTAAAACATAAGGTGCTAATTCAGAACACTTTATCCTTAATATTTACACAACACTCATGAAGTTAAGGACACCATGTCTAGCACAGGAGTATTTTCGTCCGCATGGATAAAAGTTTATTAAAGCATTGACTAAAGAGTAAATAAATTTTAAACAGTAGCTTAAGAGTAATACAACTCTAATTAGTGGCTAACCGTGCATTTCCCCTTATAATTCAGTGCATGAGTTTAATTCTCATTGGTGTCACAATTGAACTACCTAACTTATCAAGTCAAAAACACGGTAAAAACTTGAATTATCATGGTATAGAAAATTATTGTTGCACTGCTTTCATGGTTTATCATAACATTGCAATTCAAACTGCCCGGACTGTGGTTTGATGTTTGAATGATAAAAACTGAACTTCGAAGAAGCAGGTCTTTGCTTTTTTTTTTTTTTTTTTTTTTTTTTTTTTTTTTGAAGTTGTGGCTATATATTAATACATTACAAATTCTGCTTATATTTTAAACAGCCCTAAAAGTGGCTAAAATTGCATGTCATGTCCCTCAATGGGACTGGTCTCGGTGGAATATCCCCAGAAATTCAAAAATATCCAGATTTATAAGTGGTAATTGAAAAATAGTCACAGTTTCAAAAGTAATCAAAATTTAGCCATTTTTTCATGTAAAGATAAAATCTGAAAAAAACACCCTTAAAAATCCGAAAAAATTTCAGCATAATATGCCGAAGTTCAAATTTTTTACTTATGAGATTCCAGCATAATAAGCTAGAATTTCACAATATGTTGGAGTTCCAATATAATATGCTGAAAGTTTATACGCATGAGCTCCATAATCGAGCATAATAGGCTAGAAGTTCATATACAGATACATCAATCTCCAGTATATTATGCTGGAACGGTCCGTGTTGCAGTAAAATAGTGGCTATTTTTAATGACTTTGCAAATGCTGGTTATTTTTGAATTATCAGTCCGAAAACTGGCTAGCACGTGTTATTTTTACCATTATTGACCGTCTTAGGAAAATGTATCTGCTTTTAACTTAAACTCCATAGTCTTCACTATTTAAAGCTTGAAATTCTTATTTGGTAGTAGAAAATAGAATGTTAATGATCTATTACTGTTAAAATCGTTTGAATGTTGATAATTTAAGTTTAATTTTTTTAGTTCAAATACCAATTTAGTGATTTACTATAAAAAGTTCAAAACTCTATTGTTGGACCTTAAAAACTATCGAATAACAAAATGGATTTTTTATTTGATATTTGACTAAATTGGTGAGGGTTATTTGTATTGGTATTTGGAAGCTCATTGAAATTATAAATTCGAAGAATGTTTTGTTAAAACAACCTAACAAATTTATGGTAATCCGCTAGATTTCGATGAACAATTTAATAGATATGTAGAGTAAATATATCATAAACTCTGCCAATCCATTAGAAAAATTCTTGAAGCACAAAATCATACCAACTGGATAGAATTTGATAAACAACTTGACATATAGATAAAATAAAAATAACATAAACTTTACCAATCTGGTAGAAAAACTTTGAAGAGCAATAATTGTTTGGGGGTTCAAGGGTCATTTTTTAAATACCGCTAATTTTTGGAGACATTCTAACTAGTCACTTACGGGGCCATTCATGTCAATCGCCCCTTAATCCCCAATTTTGAAAGTCAGCCCATTCAAATGATGGGCCTAAATGCAGACTAGCCCACAAAATTAGGTTTCGTAAACATAACCACACTTATCTATTTAAACTCCATTCGATTCACCTTCCAGTTCATCATCTCCTTTCTCTATTTTTGCTTTTATGGGTTTTAGGATTTAGGATTTAAGATTTTAGTAGTCGGATATCTGAAGGTTTTTCTTCTTCGATTGTCTCTGAAGTTTTATAATTGCTAATTATTTACTTGGTCCGATGCCACGTCGGCGGTAGCAAAAAAGTAGCAGTGACCGGCGATGCTATGATCGGACCGACATCAAGTTTTATTAACGCTTCGCATTTTGATAGGAATCTGTGGATGAATATTTGGTTTTTCCGCGGAGCCGTTTTGTGCGATTACATTTATTTTTATTTAAAATTATGGCTTTATTTATATAATTTTTTAAGAGATTATTATAGTGAAGCCAATGAGGATCAAAATTTTGATATTTGGAATTACCGTCTGAACATAATATTGATGTCAGATCTACTATCTGAGGCTTCCTTATTATTTTTTCATGAATTTAAGTCTGATTTAGTGATCAATATAAAATTATTTCATATGAAATGTGCAGAAATATTTCTTAATTTTTAGTAGTATATTTTTAAGACTTCCTTTGAAAAAATATATTCTTTTAAGCAGATAGTATAGTGAAGTCAATGAGGATGAAAATTTTGATATCTGGAATTACCGTCTGAATATTACATTGATGTCAGATCGACTATCTGAGACTTCTTTATTTTTTTTAATTATGAGGATTTAAGTTTAATTGTTTTAAACATAATAGTATTTTTTACGAATTACTATGTGTTTAGGACGAACTATATATATATATATAACAATGACGCTACCTTATTTTGACGATTCATTAATTAACTATATTGGGGATAGAAAATAATCTTAAAATTTTCACTAAGAAGATATTGGTTAAAATTAAATATTTGTTCTATTTTAGTTTTCGTGTCGGCAAGCAAAGAAAAATTTGTTTGAACGAGGACATCAGTAAGATTTTTAAAATTGTACTTCAAAAGTATTTGCTAATCCTACAAGTATAAAGTTTCTCTAATATACACGGTACAAAATGCTTAAATCAAAATAATTGAGCATCCAATTAATAGATGGACCAATTCTTGAAAACCACATTCAAAGAAATTATGATTATATAACCTGAAGTATATAAGGAATTGTTTATCCGAAAAATGGATAACAATTGAATTTATATGTATATGTGATATTACTTGGTATAAGTTGTCAAAAATAAATAAATTATTATCGAAATTAGCTGTAAAATAAATAAATGTAAATTGAATGAATCAATCAGCC